TGCTCCCTGCGCTGCTATGGGTTGCACGCCATGTCCTCTCCGGCAGCCGCCCCTCGCCTCTTCGGGTGTCACTGCTCTGGGTTTTGCATGAAAAGCCGCGGATTTTGGCAGCTGGGTGGTTGATGAGGTCACATTCAGGGTTGCAAAGCCGCAGGGCGAGCGCTGCCGCTGAGCCCCTTGTGCCCTCCGGAGTGTGGTCCTGGAGGTGGCTGCTCGATGGTTCCTGCAGGAACCATCCATCCCCTCCACGTCGCCCCATCAAGGAGTTCCGGCGCTGGGGGTGCGCGGAGCTGCCCAAGGACGGGGGTCTGAGGGCCGTGGCCGTGCCGTGCTGAGCCCTGGCAGCGGTGGTAGCTCATGCTCGGCCCAATGTCGCATCTGCCGAGGTGTTTCATGGCCAATGGAGCACGACCGGGCTCCAGAGAGCTGCCGAGGGGAGAGGGGACACTGAGCACGTGGCGGCAGGGCTCTGACCAGCTCAGAAGGTTTGGAGCTGGGTGCTCCACACCTGGTTTCTAAGTAGCTTTGGAAGTTCTTTGCCTCTGCCGCATCTACCTGACCCCATCTCGCAGGAGATTGTTCACCCCATTGTAGGGATAATTTTCTGCTCGTTTAATTGTCTGAATTGGCACACTGGGAGGGCCGGGTTGATCCTAAAATTGGTACGAGGGGAGCTGGCGGAGGATGCGAGATCACCCGTGGTAAGCGTTGTGTTTTATTTTTCTTTCATTTCATAGAATTATAGGTTGGAAAAGACCTCTAAGATCATGAAGGCCAACTGTCATCCCAACCCCACCATGCCTGCTAAACCACGTCCTGAAGTGCCACATCTACATGTCTTTTGAACCCCTCCAGGGATGGGGACTCCACCACCACCCTGGGCAGCCTGGTCCAACGCCTGACCTCTCTTCCAGTAAAGAAATTTTTCCTAATATCCAATCTGAACCTCCCCTGATACAGCTTCAGGTCATTTCCTCTCGTCCTGTCGCTGGTTACTGGGGAGAAGAGACCAACCCCCAACCCATTACAACATCCTTTCAGGCAGCTGTGGAGAGCGATAAGGTCTCGGAAAGAGGTAAGCCCAGCAAGTGCTCAGAGCAGCCATCCCCCTGCTTGGTTAGTTTTAACGTAACGTTCAAGCAATTTCAAAGCTGCGATAAACTCATCCATTCTAGTAAGAGCGAGTCTCTTGTTCCCCTTTCTCCTACCAAGCTGATTTAGTAGGCAGACTTGTTTCTTCTGTGATGATGTCCAAGAGGAAGTGAGCAACAGCGATGGTGACGGGTCTCGTGGGACATTCCTGGAATCCTGCGCAAGTGCAGACCACCAAGAGACGCGTAAGAAACACACAGAAATGCCCGAAATCCAGCGAGGGTGCAGCGGGCGGTTTGGAGTTTGTCTAGCAACAACAGCATAAGTTTCGCACCATTTCTGGAGAGGAGACCCAAAACTGGACTGATCTGGGTGCTAGAGAACGTTATGTCTGAGGGAAGACCGAGGGGATTGACCATGTTTGGGAAGAAATCAGTGCCAGAGGAGGAGTGGAGGAGACGGAGCGTGTCCAGCTCCTTCCCCGGAAGGCAGGTCCGAGCTCTCTCTGCGCAGGACCTGGTTTTTTGGCTCGCTCCCTACGCGGAGGCGGGAGCTCATGGGGATGATTCGGTCCGGCGATGGATGACCCGGAGCCCG